AGAAAATTTTTGACTAGATTTTTCTAAAAAAAGAACACACAATTTCCTTGTTTAAATTTTGCTGTGAGTGTAAAGTGTCGGTGTGTTTTATGAAGACTGTGACTTTCCTGAAACAGCATGTGGTTTTGTGATGTGAACTGTTTAATCTGCCCAAGAGCGATAATGCTTTCTCGTGACTCTTCCCCACCACATATTGTACACTCCACCTCAATGGACTGATTTTATTTACTGCTGAGTCAATATTTACCACTTTGCTACTGCCTGCAGTAGTTTTAACCCCTGTCTGAGCAACTGAATGGTACCAGGAGCTTTTTAAAGCATTGAGGCCTTAATCCTGAAATATTCAATGAGTTTCTAGTGAAAGTGAAGGGTGCTCAACACCTCAGAGCACTAGAATGAAAGTCTGATTGCAGAAACCATGTGTAACAGAACAGCTGTAAGAAATATCACATAGTTTTTCATTTAAAGTTTGATTCTTCTTGTAGCATAACATTATTTGTTTGTACACGAATTTTAGTATTTCATTGCAGAGAGTCATCAGGAAATATTTTTGCTTTATAAAACACTTAATTTCACATATGAGAGTTGGCACAGGCAATGGCGGGATTTCCTCATCTGTCCTAGCTCCCATTAGCAAGTTGAACTGCAGAAGTGCATTTAAATGTAAAATGTAGCGGGGGGGAAAGGGACTATGCAGATTAACTAAGGCAGAGAATTCTCTCAGGTGCTTTGATATGACAAAGGGCTATTTGATGTTGCTGATAATCATATATCGATAACTGTTTGGTGAAGCAGGCATCAACATCACTGAAAGGGAGAAAATACGCTGTTGCATTTACTGAGGCAGGTGCCAGAGGCAGAGGCAGCTGCCTGTGTGGCAGCTAATGCTGGGATGAACAGCAGAGAAGGTTTTCCTGTCATATACAGATGGTGGGGTGAGAAGGATGCTGGCAATATTTTATTTGCCTAGGCCTTACCTGTAGGACTTGATCAAGTAATGGGGAAATACTGTATGAGGCAGGGCATGTATAAAACCTGGAAGGTGCATTTTCCATAGTGTTGTTCCATCCCTACAGAGCAAGCAATAGGATTTTTTCCATGCATGTGTGAACAGAAGGGATGCTGTTGTACCAGAAGGATATACCTCAGAAGGAACCAAACCTAAGAGAAAGCAGGAGAGAAATGAAATCACAGCAGCCATGAAGAAGCAGCCATCAAGTCCTCCTCTGCTTTGATACACTAATACAGACTTGGTTCCGGGCAAGGCTGTTTCAGTCTTTTCTTCCACATTACATAGATTTTTTTGTAAGCAGTTTACTCTGCCAGGTTTTCAGGCGATGACTTAAAAACAGAAAATCTGCTTGAACCATACAGATATTAAAATGCCAACAGGGCAAATAAAAAACAGCTGTGCAAAGCTTTGTTCAATAAATACAATTATCTCGCATGTAAAAAATTGTAACAGATTGAGGTAGACTATCAGCTGCGTTGTAAAGATTATGCCCTTTAAGACATTTTGGAGGAAGAGGAGGAAATTTCTCTTCTGCAATTCCAGTGTTTTGTTCTGTATGTTAACTGCTGAACTTCCATTGCACAGGCCACTGTGATTCAGTGGCACTGGTAAAAAAACTGTAGTGCTTTAATCAATACCAACGTCTATATGGAATTTTTCTATGAACTTCACATCGAGTATGTTATCTCTTTTTTCTGGGGGACTTTGCAAGGAAACAAGTAGCAAATACAGTCAGAAGGCAAAAGAGAAGCATGATATGCATTCTGTGTTTGCTTTTACATCTTTCTCTATCTTCTTCCTAAATAAAAATAGAACGACCTAGCCTTGCCCCAGGAGAAGAGAGAAATAAGATTTATAGTAATCAGATATAATCTATAATTAGATTCTGTTTTAAATATACCAATCCAGAGAGGAAAATAAGCAAGTAAATAAATAAATAAATAAATAGCACTCAAAAGCCTAAAACTGGCAGTTCAGTCTAGGAAATTGTTTCCTGCTCTTGACTTCCACATAAACATTAAACAGTCGTGCTTACTTTTTTGGGAGTCTGTGTGCATATGTGTGCATCCATATGTGTGTGGTTTTGTATGAGAGAAAGAAAGACTATGAATCATCGCTAATGCATGCTACTTGGCATGTTTTCAGAATGCATAGCAATCAGCAATGATTACTTGAAATTTGAGGAGATATGAATCTTTAATTATTTCATTGCTAGATGATTCAACCAAAAGCTCATCACCCTTTGGTTTACAAGATTTTTACCATTCTAAGAACTCAAAGTGTTTTCATATTACATAAGAAATACTGTCTAATAAAAAGTGGATATTTTTCCTAGACGTAGCACTACAGTTTTTGCATTAACACCAAATGACTATTTGAAAACTCAATATTTCATCATTCTAACGTGCTATATAATAAGCAACAGAAAATATGAAGCAATATATCAAAACCATTAAAATCACCAATTTGGTTTTTATCATAGCTAGATGAAATTTATTGTGACAACTGTAATCTTCTATTGACTGGTTGATACACATGTAATGAAAAATAACTGTCCACAGGAAAGTGCCAATGAAGTATTATATCTTGGTTTCAGTACTGCTTGCACAGTTTTAAAACCATTGTCTTCAATAACTTACAAAACCGTAAGCAAAAGAGGGCTCAAAAAAAAAAAAAAAAGATTAAAAAACCCTAGAACTCTTTAACAAAACAATATACCCATTTTACCAAAGGATATAGATATTTCTGGGGGGGAAATTAAGTGCTCAGGTTTCATATTCTGTAACTTGCATGTTAATTCTAACCCAGTTTTAGTTATGAAAGCTTTGGATTTATCAGGTTCCAACTTAAATGCTATCACTGCATTCTTTTTTATGAAGATATATTACATGAAGAACACAAAGGTATTTTAGGTTTGAGAAATTGTAATTGTTATAAGGCCACTTTGCATAATATTATATTAAATAAAATAATTGAATTGGAAGAAATTTGAAGTTTCATAAAAGAAGGAAAATGAGCAGACTTGTTGCACAATTGTATATTGCCCACTGGTCAGATGACAGGAAGGAGAATGGAAATTAAAGCACAATGCAAGTCATGCACTAAACATATCAGCTGCTAATTTTATCAGTTTGGGAGAAATCTAATGAGAAAAATGTCTACAAATATATAATTTCATTCCTTCCTAAGGTAAGTGATGTAAGTTTCAGTCAAGTGTGCATTTTATTTACTGATGAGAGGAAGGAACCGAGAGACAGACCTGGGAATTTTCCAGTCTTTCACAAATACTAAGTGATACAAAATAAAAAGATGATCTTCATTTATGCAAATCAGATAAGTGACATCTGACTTGGAGTGTGAAGTTGATGAATACTGAAGTATATAAATACTGGTGAAACACCTTATCAGGCAATATGCCTGGAAAACCCACCATTGGAGTGGGGCGAGAAGCTTACTAGTACCCTCTAAAGATGCCATTTGTCACCCATCTATTGCAAATATTTGGCAGTAGCCCCAGTAGGAGACTATCACAGGGCACAGTGGGCAGGAATAAATTAACCAAATAAAGGGAGAAGTGTGCCCCTTCTTTTCCATTACCACTGTTAAGTGAAATATGTGAGCTCTTGGCCTAAGATGGCTGGGACACTAGATTTATTCACAAGTGTCATTATTAAGATATAAATTTTTTTAAAACATGCCTTCCAGTGTTTTGCTGACAGGCCCCACTGCGGCAGCAGTCAGCAGCATAAACCTGCCTGTCACGTCTGTTCAGGCTCATACGCAGCTCCCTTTGTTGCTGCTTTCAACCTCCTTACAAATGGTCCGTGGGCATGGGACAAATCAGGTGATGTACAGATTGATACAAACTAGATTATTTTACAGTTAGCTGCTCTCCATTAAAAACTGCCTACAGTCCTCTACATAAAGGATTTTATTCAGTGTAGTGCACGCGCTGAGCACCTGAAGTGGTGTAAATGCATGTTCCCAATAATTTAATTTACTCATTTGTACACCTTTCTGACTTCGCAGTGCACACATCACACCAACTACATTTCTGTTGCACTCTAGTAAACAAGCTGTGTGCCAATCAAGGTAATCTGAAGATAAACCCTTTACAAGCTACCTATGGATTTGTCACCTTTGTTCATATCAGCACGGATTTTTTAATACAGAGGCTGTTTTATTAATTTTACACCTGAGAAGGGCACACAAAATTGACATACTACAACTGTTTTCCCTTTCTCTGTTGTGGAAGTTTAGGTGACAGCGCCATAACAAAGACCTTTGCTGCACATGGTCACACAGATACACAACAGCAAAATCAGTGTCAGATGCAGCTTGACTACAGAAAACTCTAAAATATGAAGCTTTGCATAATATTGTGCAGCCACAAGCCGCTCTAATTGCAATATTTGTGTTGTTTGTCTGTTAAGTGGCTGTTCTTTCAGCACTGCATAGACACAGTGCTGTTGCTTTTGTGATTTTCTTTTTTTTTTTCCCATGCGGATGTCACCTTAACTGGCCTTGAAAATGCAGGAGGTTTATTCCTTCCAGCCCGTTTCCCACTCTTCACTGAAGTGCATGCTGATTTTTCTTACTGATCTCAGTGAAAAAGCATTGAGCCATCTTTTCCTATTATCTCACAGCTGTTCTTATTACTCTGTGGGCCACAGTGTTGTAGCATGGGACTTTGAATTCCTCTGCGTGGCAGATCATACTTGTCACGGGAAATGTTAGGGTGTGATTATTTTAGGTCTGTTCAGCGAAGTGCTTCATTCCGAGTCCTCAGATACAAGTCTATATATGCGCAGAATTAATACTATGAAAAAAATACAGCTTTCTGTATTACTTTTATCCTTTGGATTTTCTTTCCTCCACAAAACTTTCAGCGTTTACAAGGGGAATATGGGGATGTTCCAAGCTTCTTGAGAAAGCAGACCCATAGCCGGACTCACAGTTCAAAATGTGCCTGAGCACACTATGGCAGATGGGAGAGACTCCGTGGACGCGACCTGCGGAGGACACGCTGTCGGGTTCCCAGCCTGCTCCAGCACTGTGGTCTGAGCCTGGAGCACCAGGGCCGGTTCAGCCTGGACAAGCAGGAGCTTGGGGGCACCTAACAGCAGCCCCCAGTGCCTACGAGGGCCTGTCGGGGAGCCAGGATCTTTCAGAGGGGCACAGTGAGGCACAGGTGAGGCTGAGACCAGCCATAAGGAAACCTCTCCCAGGAGGAGAGGTGGCACAGGCTGCCCCGGGACTCCCTCCCTGTGCAGCCTGGTCTGAGCCCATGGCCGACCCTGCTGGGAGCAGCGCCTTGTGCCAGGCACCTCCTGAGCTGCCTCCTCACCCGGATTACCCTGTGGCACCGTGGTCCTTTGAACCTAGTCCTTGCTTGCTCTTAATGACGGTGAGCCGATCCTTGACATGAATGGAAAAATATCTAACCTTGCAATTTTATGTCACAACCTTTTGTATTACAAGGACTTTCAATGTTAACCATCTTGAAAGTGCTTAGGAACCCTTTCTTTCAAGAGTGTGTTTGATGAAGCAGATCCCTAAGAGGCACTTCTTTCTCCCTTCTGCCTGCTGCAGCTGCTGACTCCTTTTTCCATGTGAGAGCTAGTAGAAATAGATTCTACACTTGTTCTACACTATGTTTGCTTTGCTGTACATGTACTTTACTTTACATGTTCCTCCTTTGTGTCTCCCACTAAAGATAAAGGGGAAATGGCAACATTTTCATGAAAGATTGTCATTCAAAAGCTTAAGTTTCAGAGGGATATAAGCAGTTTCCTCAGTAACGATAGTCCTTTAAGCCTACCACATGCTGCTGTGCTTGTAAATATCATCTTGAGGCTTTAGCATCCTGGAACCCCTGCCATTTTACTTTTCTTTGCATTTTTATGATGTTTTTAATTAATTGGGTTTAATTATGCTTTTTTGCTGCCCTGGTTAAAGAAAGATTTCTGGCTACTATTTCATGTTAATTAACAGCTCTTCTGGGGATTGTCTATATTTTAAGGCACTATTCTGAAGTTCAGCAAAGCCAAGCTTGGATGCTTTATCAAAGGCTAAACTTTGGAAAATCTGTTTGCTCTTTTATCACACTTTCCAGTAAACAGTTCAGTGGATAATATCTGGGAATGTATGTTTCTCATTTAACTCTTTAATCCTCCACTATTTCTTTAAATTCCTGACCACTTACGATAACTATTAGTAGACAGATCAATTTTAATGTTTGACAAATACAGATTTGTGGTGAGCTGTGACGTGATTTGTTATTAGAGTCTCATAATGTAATTTCAGGCTAATGACACGACATTATTAACATCATCTTTGCCAGAATGTACTTACTTTAGAGTTTGGCTTCTGCAAATCCAGAGCTGCATTCATCCACTTTACTATTTTTTACAGGTTTTGTACTTGTTAGTTTTTCTCTCTCTCTACAGACTTTTCTTTTATAGTTTGTTACACCATGTGACCTCCACATATTTTTCTGAAGCCTGCTATAATTTTTGTGCTGACATCATTTTATTACCTTAAGTAATAAATCAATCAATGATATGTATCACTGAATTGAACTGGTAAGAAGAGGCTCAGTGTGTACTTCCCTGGCTGCCTTACTGGGATGACCTTAATGAATTTCTGCAATGCCTCATCTTTTGCTGTGATTGCTGCAAATGTATTCCTCATTATTTCTGAGACTGGACAATCTACAAAAATTACTTAGCTATAAAAGCCTGTCATTTTCAAATACAATTGTCAAATACTTTTGAAAGCATTCATAGTATCAGATGCCTCATCAATTTTTATTTCCCTGTTTATGCCCTATTATTGAATCATAGAGTAATATCTGGGGGAAACCCCCCCAGTCATTGTATTTTGGGAGGCACACCCATTTATTTCTCCCTTCCTATGGATACTGTGAGTTTCTCATTTGCTTCTACCACAAAGAATATCTCAAAATAAATGTCATATATTTGATTACCTCCAAGCACCACAGTCAGAATCTGTCATTCTCTTTTCTTACATACCATAACTAACAGGATCTTCTGTTCTTAACTAATTACTTCTCATGTAAAAGGGTGCTTACACTGCGCTTTGAGTGTCTTATGATTAGAGGAATGCTTCTGGGGTGTTACTGGACAGTTACTTCCACAGGGTATTCCACAGGGTCCACAGCCAGTTTTATTCTGCTACTAAAGACACACTGATAAAGATATAGTATTTCTTCTGCTTCTTTTTCTCTTGAAAACAAACTCTTGCAAAGTGTTCACATCTTTCTGCAGATGTTGCAGGATTTTTCAGGTGCTGGACATCATTAGCAGCTGTGCATGCTCCCTGGTTTTGCTCTAGACTCTCTTCTGAAGAGTATTCCAGCTTTCCAAGCTCCTCTTTTGGAGGACAGTCTACTTACTGTAGTTGTATCTTTTCTTTCTAACATTTTATTTCTAGCCAATTTCTTTATTTTACCTAACATACCTAGAGAGCTTGATAAAGCTTAGTCTGTATCTTCTACCAGTCTTTTGCACACTTTGTATTCTTAATTTCAATTACTGTATGATACCAAGTATGTATAATTAAGATAAATATGAGGAATATGATGAAGTGTGTCTGAATCATTATTTAAAGTTCAGTCAAAAAATTCTTTAGAGGATTCTCGTCCCTGCTGCGGGCTGGTATGAAATCTGCATTTTTTCAAAAGTAGTTTTTCCTAGGAATGCAGTTATCCCTCAGCTTACTGTCTATAAAATCTCATTACTTGCCTTCTCATCCTGATTTGTTAAAAACTCCAGCAATTTCAAGAAAATCAGTGGTTCCTATGAGTCTCCTTTCTCTTGGCTCCAGCTTGTTAAAAGATTTGTTGCCTTTTCCCCACATTTTCACGATGTTGTGAGTAAGTTTCAAGCCTTCTAATTTTTTTTTTTTTTTATCCCCAAGGTCCTTTTGGAGGATCCCACTGCTGCTACTGAATAGTGGTTGGGATTGCTCAGAGGTGGATGTAGGGTTAGGGATATAGATTAGGAAGGTCTTAATGGTATTATATTCAAATAGGACGGTGGTACATGTGGGCCACTGTCAGCCTTCCCAAAATCTACACAGGTGACAGAACCTGTGACAGCTCTGTGACAGCCTATTCCTTACACATGCACTTCTCATAGTGGTTTTAAGTTAGTTCAAGATAGTGTTTTTTGAGACTGTCAAATGACTAATTCAGGGCAAAATCAGGTCCCAGTCTTGGAAAGAAAATTATGCCAGTAGGCTCTTTGGGATTCACCGCTCCCACTGATTTCAAAGCTGGCTCTGATTCTCCTGAGAACATGCTCATTACTGGAGTGTCTGCCCAACACCATGAGTGACTATTCTTCCTTTTACTGTACAATACTATAAAATGCAAATACACACCTTAAATTCACAGTCAGGGAGTTCCTTAAGCAGGGAGCTAGTTTATAATAACCACATATCCCCCTACCTCCTGTGTCTTTATGCTGTTTTTTAATGATTTTGCTGGCCTGGCATCTGCAGTGCTATATAAAATAGCCTTTCCCTCCTCTGTCTCCTCCATCCCTCCTATGCAGCCTCACGACTAAAATAATGTACATTATGTGCCTGAAGGAACATATTTGGTGCCTATGTAGGGGCAGCCCTGTTTAGGTATGTAAGCACATCCCATCACTCCATTTAACCTCCACACAGCTTGCTGCGCTTGTGGGGACAATGTCAGAGAGAAATAGTCCCAGCATCCTTTTAAGAAAATCCCTATTGTGACTTGTTATAAGACCAGAGGGGTTTTGTAGACTGCCAGAAGTCAGGCTGAGGTTGCAAGATAATATAGATGCCATGTCCTTGCCTGGGGACTGCCCTAGGAAGTATATTGCAGGGCCATTATGTCTACAATGCATCAAGGTTTCTACTGACATAATTATTTTAGGCATTGATCTTGTCTACTACATTATCTACCAAGCAGATGGTAGAGCTGCAGCAACACAAAATTATCTGTACTACCACAACTATTTACTGTGCAAGGCTACTCCATGGAACTACATATTTAGGTTATTTAGATTTGTTCAAAGTCTTCCCTAGAAGTTAAAACTTCTTGTGAAAAGAGATTTAGTCCAGTCTAAGGAAAAGAATTTTGTCAGGGTCTGGCAAAGCATTCAAATTAGGTTATTAAAAAGGAAACTAACTTCTCAGGAAAATAGAAAGTTTTCTAAAATAAATAAGGCAGTTTATTTTTACTCCCTCTGATTTGCTAAATACTGTAAGAAAAAGCATGTTCTGCCTGACAGTACATTTTATTATGTGAACAACTCTTTGTAGTGGAAACAAATCCATGAACTTCAGCTTAACTTCCTCAAATGCCTAACATCATTAATGATATTGTTGGGATGATGAAAGATTAGCAAGTATATTGCCAGAATAAGCAAAATTATCAGAAGCAAAACAAAACCAGAATCACAAACCCCAAGATGTTTCAGCAGAGGTAACTAAGGGGGACATTATTACATCATGCATCACTGCTAACATTTTGTCTAACTTAGTTGTTCACATGCATCCAATTAACAAGTCAGGCTTAACCATAAGAATAAATATAAAATAAAGATACGGCTGCAATAGATGCAGTGTGTCTCAACGTGGAAGACGGGGACAAGAAACAGTACCTAATAGCAGCAGATTTGGGACATCTATACTGTTAGATACAGAATGAGAGGACTGATTTGCCCTCTGACAGTGAGCAGGAAGCATCCAAGAAAGGTCCTGTCCAGGACCAGGTGGCATCCTGAATTATTCCTCTTAATGCACTTGCCAGGACTTGCTAGCTCAGAGGAGAAAACGATCTGCTGTGCTGTACGCTTCGCTGTCTAAGGCATTGTTATGTTCAAAGTTCTTTTTGCTGGAAATGTATGTCTCCTAAATACACCTTTCTTTCCATGCCACGTACTATTTTCTCCTCTTTCACTACACAGGATGAACTTTTGGTTCCATAATTGCCCCTCTCACACTTCACTGTGGTCTATATTCAAACTATAGTCTAGTCCTACAGTAGAGTGGCAGATACCCAGATATACTATTTAATACTAGTTCTGGGCTTGGTCTATAAGTCCAGGACAATTGTTCTGCATAAATACCGCTTTGGAAGAAGACAGCTTTTGTGGCTTGCTGTACTCTCACATTGTCCTGGTTTCAGCTGGGATAGAGTCTATTTTCTTTCTAGTAGCTGGTACAGTGTTACATTTTGGATTCAGTATGAGAAGAATGTTGATAACACACTGATGTTTTCAGTTGTTGCTAGGTAGTGTTTAGACGAAGTCCAGGATTTTTCAGCTTCTCATGGCCAGCCAGCAAGAAGGCTGGAGGGGCACAAGAAGTTGGGAGGGGACACAGCCAGCTGGCCCAAACTGGCCA